GCCTTGTGTTCTTTGAACTTGGGTCGTGACAAAGCTTTCGTGAGCATGTCAGCAAGCATCGTGTTGGTTTTGCAGTATATGATCTTGATGGTACGTTGCTTGACGAGGTCACGGATAAAGCGGTGGTGCACGTCGATTTGCTTCGTACGCTGGTGGAGAGCAGTGTGTTTTTCTTAGCAATGATAAATGTGGAACGGAGGAAGTAGTTATACCCAATCAAGTTGGACTAATTCACGTAACTTGAATATATTGATTTTATTCTTCCTCCATTCATTTTCAGGATGAAATCATGTCGGCTTTTCCAAGGTTCACTGTATTAACACTAACTAAATTATGGTGAAGTACTACTGGGGACATTTTCCCGTCGTTACCTGCCAACAAGAAGCAGATTTCAGTCGCTCGACCAGGAGAATTAGAGATACATCCGAGACTTATCCGGACGTCACTGCCGGAGTGGCAGCCCGACGTTTGCCGTCCGGCGGGTGTGCACGAGGTGCCCTTGCTCGTTCTGCGCTTGGTCCTAAGGTGAGAAAGACACATGATTTGAGTCAGGCACCTTTTAAGTGTGTAAGCTAAGTAGACTTTATATACGCCGCACACGACAGTCCGCGGCTTTGGTTGTGCCGCTGCCACGCACAAACGACACGATACCTGGGGCCAGACTTGACTTTGACGGGGGCGACCTTGGATTCAGTGTCAAAGGTGGAAAAGGCGTCGTCCATCGTGTCGTCTTCGTTGAACTTGTGATGCATGGTTTGCTGGACAATCTTGATGCGCTCGCCGTCCTTGGTGCCATCGAGTAGCGCGACCCAACCGAAGCTGGCCCGTCCACCGGCGGCGGCGTGGAGCACCTTGGGGGCGATCCAGGACGCACCGCAGCCAGACGACGTGTAGCGGATGCCAGTCACATACGTGCCACGTTGGTCCCGTTGACGATTTCGGCTCGGCGGTGGCGGCGACAGCAGCGAGGACCTTGGCAATAGCAAGTGGCAAATGAACTTGTGGACGACACGGGCCGTATCGATCACCTGGTGTGGACCACGGTTTGGCAATTCAAATCTCGTCAAGGACACATCATGGTTTGGATCCATTTCAAGGTCGTCAGTCCATTTAGGACCATTCGTACATTTCTACATTAGTTGTTGGTCATCTTTTTACCAAACAGTACGTTGTTACTGTATCGGTCCAACATTGGCTTTCATGCGAAGTCACTTTTATCGGATTATCCTCTTATCCTTATCCTGTCATAGTAGCATTGCGTGCGTTCAACGTTGACGACTTCGACTTGGGCGGCGGCTGACGCAGCGACGGCAGCGAGGGCAAGGAACTTGGCCATGGCAGACGTGAATTGGAAAATGACGATACACCAAATCAACGTGGAAAGGGGCAGATTTTCCTCTTACAGGTGTCCCAGCACACACCAGCCCATGCTTCGGACACGTTCCGAAGAGACACCATTGAGGTAGTTTGCGATAGTGCGATTCCATGCTCGTCTAGGTGCGGGCGAAAGCAAGTCCTACCTGCTGCTTTTCTCGACGAGAGGATAGAACGTTGGGTGACACGCGCGATGGAGGCTCTCACCAAGGCAACGCCCGCACGAAGATGCACACATGACCTCGGCTTGGCTCCGATGTGCGCGATTTCATGGGCGTCGCTCGCTGCTGTAAGGTAAATCGTTCTTATTAGGGCTCATACGAACCAAAGGCAAGGTGCACGGCAACGTATGTGGGACAAGACGCCCTCGAAACGTTCGCGTGAGAATATCTCTAGTGAAGCGTGTCGCAGTGGTGATATTCTACAGTGCGCGATACAGTTATCTGCGCACATCAAAATTTTGGTTTGACAAGAAGTGCAGGCAATTGCTTTGCTCTGAACACGCCCTACGTCTTAATAGAGAGGTTGCAGTGTGGTGTAAGTGCAAGTATATCTATACCCTAAAGTCAATGAACAAAAAATTGCGAAAGGTACTCACGGAAATATTCATGTGCGATAAGCTTGTCATTGCGACTACACCATCTCCCGATCAACCTGAACCAAAACCACCATCAATGTGAAATATGAATCTATGTTCGGGTCAGTTTTAAAAGAGATCAAATACGTTGCACCCTCTCCATCAATGAGAATAAATGCACCATCAAGTTGAATTGTGTTCACCTTTCATACTGTTTTCTTCGAACAAGATGGCCCGTTTTACGTTTCATTGGCAAAACAAAGTCTCCTTGATCCCCAAGGGTCGCGTATTACAAGTGAGGGGGTCTACAGCAGCCTCTGTCAAACGTTAGCCGAGAGAATATTTGATCGGTACGTTGAGAGAGGTAGCGCTTAATGCGTGCCTTGAAAACACTGAAACAACTCTCAATTGGATTCAACATGGGCGAATAGGGGCCAAGGCCAAGACGAAGGATAACGAGATCGTTGTGTGACATCACACGCGTTTCCGTTTGAGAGTGCCCCGGCGCATTGTCCAAAAAATGACAACCTTCTTCCCGCGTATGTGCTATTCCCATGAGGGACCTTGCTTGGCACAGACGTAGATGTGGTCCACAAAACTTGCATTGACATCCGTCTTGATGCTTCCTCGATGCATGAGATGGCACCCAAGGCCGTCCACGTCAGCGACAGCACACTGCAGTTATAGATTTGTGCCCTTCCATGCGGCAGCACCACCACTGCGCACTTGCCCTTCCGCGCTCCATCAGTAGATGTTGACGTTGGTTTCGTAAAGTAAACGTTGTAGTCATTTGCGTCTTGGTGATCCTTGAGCTTTTGGGCGAATTCTTGTCTCTTCAACTTGTTCTTTTCATTGTTGTATGTTGATGGCTCTATGCGGATATTCTTCAGCGTCTACAGCATGCCAAGCAAGTGCCTGATGATCGTTTGGGTGAATAGAAGCGTTCCCGGAAAGTCGAACAACACTAACGCTTGATTATTTGGCCGAGTGTATACAGACAATTTTCGTTGAGGTAACTTACGAGGGCCTCTTGTATTTCCGCGTAACTTTCGTCCGCTCAGGGCGATCCACCGTGGGGAAGCGGTGAAACGCGGTTGTTCGGCACAACACGCCAAGCGGTCATGACGGAAATTCCGTTGTGTTTAGAGACGACTTTCCAGTCGTCGCTACCTTGCTGGTATGCGTCGAGGACTCGTTGCTTCTCTGTGACGGTTAGTCCGATGAGTTTCATGCAGATTCAAATGCGATGATGTTTGATTGTGCTTATCTGGTTTCCCGTTCAAGGTTTGGCGTCTATTTAAGGAGATCGCCACGTGTCATATCAGTTTGATGGTGGCTTTTTCACATTGTCGGTGGTTTTTCCAAAGGTCAAACCGGTACTACTCTGGT